GAATAAATCATTATATTGACAAAATTCAGGGGTGGCCTAGATTACATAAAATCGAATTCAATTGTGTTTGGAGGTATTACCTTCGCAAATGTTGAGCAATTACTGAGAACTTGCTCTTGGTACGCTTTGTATTCAGGTGTCATAGCCTGAGATTGCAAAATTTTCAAGAAAACATAAAACAATAAGCAAGGATAGCAAACGTCTTTCTCTGGGAAGATTTTATTGGATATGAAAATTAACCTGCTTTAGTGCAACTGCTAAGGCAGTAATGGTGTGATTGTGGGGTCCACCTTGAAGTCCAGGAAACACAGCTTGATTAATTCTGTCTTCATAATCATACATAACCTGTCAGATGGAACTCATATTTTAGAATAATTTTTGCGCCTTCAGTATTTTGAGTGCAAAAAGTAATGAAACAAAACATAATTTCGTGCTGCTTAACACTTCCCTCGTATAGGACTATATATAAAACAGCAATAATATCCTCCAATGATCAGATGAGGCAATGGAAGCTCAACAGGAATGTGAAGAACGGAAATTGACTCAACAAAATTTAGCAAGAACAATAAAAAGGTTTAGCGACTATTTTATATAAACTCACTTCTTTTCCTTGTTTATTGATCTCTTTTACTCCCTTCCTGAAGAAGATCATTGCTCCGCGTGGCCCACGTAGTGATTTATGTGTGGTTGTTGTGACTACATCTGCATACTCAAATGGTGATGGGATGACACCAGCAGCAACCAACCCACTAATGTGTGCCATGTCTGCCAATAAGACGGCCTTTTGCTTGTCACAGACCTGTCATATACATTATAAAGATGAATGATGTACTATTGAGATTTGAAAAAAAAAAAAAGAAAGATATTCAAATGTAATTTTCTAAACCGCATTTGTTCGACTGGGTTTACCTTACGAATCCGTGCATAATCATATAAACGTGCATAAGCACTTGCACCAGCAACAATCAATTTTGGCCTGAAAAGCACTGCACTCTTTTCTAGCTGCAAATAACACGAGTTAACTCTCTATTCATAGCAGGTAGGCTCAAAGAAAATACAGTAGTTGAAAACAATGAATCCTCTTTATTTCACAAAAAAACCTATCACCAATGAAATACCAAATAGAACTTATCCATTGGTCTGTGAAATGTATAGCTTGGACTCAGAAGAATGTGTATGATGCCTTAATATTACCAACCACCGAGATGTCTATCACAAGTTCGGAACTCAAAACATCTCATATTTATTCGGCTACTTACACAATGCATCTAACGTGACATTAATCATAATCGAGGATGATTAATGGTTTTCACTTAGAGCGGCAGAATAATAGCTGTTGCACCATAATATTGTGTGCATGCTAGTGTGAGCATAGGTTCGTCAAAAAAGCAAATAGTGAAGTTCTTGGAAAAAGAGTGGAAATGTGTTTTCTGTTCTTATGAAGCCCGTATATTTAGAAGAACAGTGAATATAAAGCAAATGGGCATCAATGAAGCAACATCGCTAATTTATAAGTAGAACTTCATAAAAAGTATTCTATTCTCTCAATGATGACATGAACAAGAACAATTACGATAACAGGGTTGATCAATTATCATTGATGCCTCCATCACCATTGACTATTGTATTGGCAAACATAAATTGCATGGAGTAAAAGAGCATTAGAGATCCAAAATATGTTTGGATGAAACCTAGTTTCGGGTTTTCGTTTAGTATCTGTCTTTGCAAAAAGTGAAAGCCAAAGATGGAAATAAGAGTCAGCTCAAACAAACTTTTGGAAATTAAATTATTATACCTGATCATAGTCGATATACCCTGTGCTTTCATCCAGTCTATAAGGCATTGTCTCAAAAAATATAGACACCGCACTAATCTTTTTCGTATCAGTCTGTAACACAACCCCCAAAACGAATTCAAAAACTCAAATAACGATTTAACTTGGGAAAAGGGCAGAAAAAACATAAGTAGATTCGACAAGTTAAGATGGAAGCACCTGATATCCATGTGACAAATGACCACCGTGAGGAAGATCAAGAGCCATTATCCTTTCATGAGGTTTCAGCAGAGCAGTATAAACTTGAAAATTGGAAGGGGATCCAGAAAGTGACTGTACATTCACTGCAAATATAAAGCAAGTGGTTCTTTTGATAAGTGGTTTAATAACTCAAAATCACCAGAAACAAAAGAAAAAACGAACATGAAATACAAACCCAAATCAGAAAGTACTTACCTCCCCATTTTGCAGGATCCAATTGGAAAGTCTCTAAGGCACGCTTCTGACACAACGTCTCAGCCATGTCGATGTACCTAACAAACCAAAACCAAAATTAATAAAAGAATGCAATACATATTATCTGCCCTCGCCTGAAAGCCTGTTCACAAGACAACCTTTAAATCGGTTATTAGCTTTAGTAAGAAAATGACGTTTGGAAGTGATTTTAATGCTGAGATTATTGTATCAACGCTTACACTGCTTCAAGTTCACACATAATCGGTACACGACGATATATATTAACGTAAGTTAAATCTAAAAAAAATCAGCAAATATGTAACATCATAGAAGATGGGCACTAATTCAAAGCTGCACGAGTACATAAAGTAAAATGGAGAAAGAAAAAAACGAGAAGTCGTACTCATTTCCTCCATAGTATCTTGCTCCAGGGTACCCTTCACTATATTTGTTAGTCATAACTGATCCAACCGCTTGCATCACCGATAATGACGTGAAATTCTCTGAAGGTATGAGTTCCAGTCCCTAAATCCATAAATTAACTTAATCCAAACGCATAAAAACACCAAAACACCAAAATGAACAGTATTAAAATCAAACGATGTATGTAGAAATGAGATTTAGAATCGGTTTAGTGCACACTTATATATATATACCTTCCATTGCCTTGCCTTCTCGAGCTCTATGATGTCAGCAATCTCCGGATCTACCTCTTCCAACGGCTCATTCAATTGTTTCGTCCACTGCCGAATCGAGATTCAAGTGAGAAACGAGATCCAATCATTGCACACAATCACATCATTCGATTTCGTTAACAAACAATGAAAAAAAAAAGGAAATTACAGTAATTCGCGAAGTGTCCTTCTGGCTGGCCGCTTGATTCGCCAAAGAAGACTGACCGGAGAAAATATTGAAGGAAAAAAACGGAGATCAATAAAAAAACGAACAGATTCCACTGAGTGAAGAGGTGTAAAAGCATTACAAAAAAATAAAATAAAATAAAATCTCACACATACACACACACAAAAACACAATCTCACCATGAAATGACGGGAGGAGGAGCTGGAGAGAGAACGAACGACGGAGAGTCTTCGGAGAGCCATTGCCGCCATTAGAGCAGAGTTCGTGTTTCTGCCACCCGCACTCGCCTTTCTGCTTTATTGTTCGTGTGTGTATAAGGCGGTTGTTGTGGGATCGGAGTTGGTGGGTGATGGTGGAAGTCACTACTGAACGTTTGCTTTTAATTTAATTCAAATATTGTCTGAAATAGGAAAATATAAAAATAAAAAAATAAAAAATATATTATATCTGGGTCACTGTTGAAAATGAGTGGTGGGCTGTTTTAGGTTTGAAGGTGGGGTCCACAGAATCGAACATTTTGCTCTGGGGCTTGTGCCCAGCCCAAACATTAATGTTGCTGGGCTTCCCGTCAAGGGAGTTTGTGTTTCCAAATATTATTATTATTATTATTATTATTATTATTATTATTATTAATCCATAACCATAAGTATATTAAAATAATAAATATATTACATACTTCATTATTAATTTAACCGGTCGAGCCTTATTCGGGTTGATCCGTAGTAGGCTCAAACTCAACTCATAAATGAATCAGATTTCATGTAATGACTTAACTTCGGCCCGACTCACTAAAACTAGACCAGACTCAAACATAATCGGGCCGAGCAATCGGGCTTCGGTTAGGCCCGGCTCAATTACAGGTTTTAATCACTTCCATTTTTGTATTATTATTTTTACTTTCAAGCCCATCAAAACGGCCCTAAATAATTACGAAAATTGATTGGTTTTATTGGGCTAGCTCCCTCACTTTCTTTCGCTTCTATTCGGCCCATAGATTTTATATTCAATTTTTATTTCGTATTTTTTGCTGATTATTGCAGGCGAAAATTCCACAAAATTCTCTCCCATCTCTCTCAGGAGGTGATTCTCTCTAATTTTCTCTTACGCGTACATGTATATGATGCAAACTGGATTTAAATGTGATTTTTTTAAGAATTGTTTGGTCCGAAATTAATATTTCACATTTGTTTGCCGAATTCCCTCTTTTTTTAATTTTTGTTTTTTTTATTTGCTTCCAGCAAACAGGTTATTTCATGATTGTTTGATTTGGGAGAGAAATTGTGGTTAGAGAAGGAATAAGCAGCGGAAGAAAAGATGGGCAATTTGAAGCAAGCTCTGAAAAGCCTCGATGCGTTTCCACGCGCCGAAGAGCATTTGATGCTCAAGACAAAATCTGGCGCCCTCGGTATTTTTTCTCTATTAGAATTTTTTATTTATTTTTTAATTTGTAATTTTGCTTGTGTGCATAACTGTTTCATTGATCCATAAATTTCATTTTATTGTACCGTATTTCAGCCTGTGTGCATGGTTTCCTACTGTAAAAGATTAAAATGAGTGTTATCTAGCACTTGAATCGTGGATCCCGAAGGGGAGATTAACCTTACGTTGCTTATGGAATTGAGGCTTTTTTAGTTGGAGAATTGTTGGCACAAACTCAAGTTTTAACAATATTTTATAATTGTTATTTCCCGTTAGGTCTTTTAGCATTGAGTTGTGTTACTTATAGGGGATCAGTAATTATTGACTGGAGCTTCTTTCGCCAATATTGCGTTCGGGATATTCTTATGGTGCTTTTTTTTGGATTAGAATTCATATAACTGCTTTTGGGTATTGATCAGATCCCGTTTCACCAATTGTTCATGCTTTTGTATGTGTATGATTACTT